ATTCTTTGAACAGACATCTGAATAAACTCATCAAAGGAATCCAGCTGTTGTCTAACCAAGCCTTTTTCATCAAAATAAGAACTAGGAAAATATTAAGTTCATAATCAGTTGCAACTCAATCTCTCTACAATATTCTTCATTTTAAATTTAATTCAGCAGTTCTCAACCTGTGACTTGTGACTGTTTTGGCAAACTTTTATCTCCCCAAATTACAATTCAGAACAGTAGCAAAATTACAGTTATGAATAGCAATAAAATAATTTTATGAGTGGGGTCACCACAACAAGAAGAACATTAAAGGGTTGCAGCATTACCAACGCTGAGAACCACTTATTTAATCAAATTCAACAAATACTCATGAAATGCCAAGCAATATGTATCAATCAGTGCATATGGCCAGGAAGGAATATTTTCTTTTTAGATATTATGCTTGGGAGGGAAAAGAAAGGGGTAAAAATAACTAAAGAACAGAAGAACAATAAGGTAGCTTTGATGTTTAAACAAATTTCAAACTCTAAAGCATTTCCATGTTACTGCACACAATGTGACAGTCAGTGTGGTGACCCTAGCATAACAATTTGCTTTTGACTGTTCTCCCCGTGTTTTACGTTATAGAAATGGGTAAGAATCTGGACGGACTTTGACATGTGACTTTACTCATTTACAATCTGGGGCTCCACTGCATATTGCAATATTTTGTGTCTTTATAACTCCTAACTTTGTAATTCTTGGATTTCTTACAGAATATATATTATAAAGTTCCTCTGGTTTATTTGGAACAGTCACATGGAGAACAATTATAAGAGGTGCTCATTTAAATATCAAAAATAAAAGTGAACCACCATAATTTAAAAATATGGAATTAGATTAACATCACCAATAACACAGTAAGTGTACCTAATACAGTGTGCCAAAGGACTCACCCAAACACAGTAAGAGGAAAGTCAAACCACAACCCACAAGTACTATACAAAGTAACTGACCTGATTTATTTAAAAGGAAGGAAGGAAGGAAGGAAGGAAGGAAGGAAGGAAGGAAGGAAGGCAGACAAGACAGGGCTGGAGAAATAGCTCAGCAGCTAAGAGCACTGACTGCTCTTCTAGAAAACCCAGGCTCAGTTCCCATCACCTACTCACAACTGGCAGCTCACAACTGTCTGCAAGACCTGATGCCCTCCACAGACAAACATGTAACCAAACACCAGTGCATAAAAAGGAAAAATAAATTATTTTAAAAAAGGACATCCTGAGAAACAGTTTCAAATCAAAGGAAGCAGAAAAATAAGTCATGAAACAAAATGTATGAGGCTAAAGACATGGATGGTGCAGTTAAGAGTCCATAATCTTTGTGCTAGAGATATAGCTGGCAGAGGAGCTAATTCCCAGCACCCATGGTGGCTCATAGTCATCTGTAACTCTAGTTCCAGGGAATCTGACGCCCTCTTCTGGCCTCCATGGGCACCTGCATACAAGGTGCACATAAACTTACCCAGGCATATAAACAAATAAAATTTAAAAGCTAAAAACAAAGAACAACAAAATGCACAACACTAAAGAACTGAGACAGGAGGAGTGGCAAGTTCCAGGTCAGGTTGAGCTACACAATGAGACCTTGTCTCAAAAAAACTAAATGAATTCTTCAGCTTTTTTCTAAGGGGGAAACATTTTAAATCAATACAGCCAGATACAATGATATGTTCCTACAATCCCAACCTTAGAAGGTAGAAGCAAGAGTGCTGCAAATTCAAAGCCAGCCCAGTCTACAGAAAGTTCCATAGGATCCAGACCTGCATACAGTACTGTCTGGATAAAACAAAGCAACCCCTGTAAGTAATGAACATGTGTTAAGTACATAAGTAAGCAGAGATAGGGCCAAGAGCTACCTATAAGAACAGTGACAGGACGTCCCTCACAGCTTACAGCATCTACTGAAGCCTGATCAGCTTCCTCTAAAGTTACCTGATCACGATCCAACACGCTTCTTGCCACAAATCTGGAGTGATTTCATCATCATCCTCATCATATTGCATATCTGCAAAAACAAAACACTATGCTCATCGTCAATGAGATGAAACTAGTTTATACTGTACCTCAATGAAGTAAAACTATCACTCTGCTAAATACAAGGCAATAATTTCACCCCTCTTTCCTAGAATCTCAAGAGAGTTTACGCCATGTTTGTCAAGTTAATATTCTTCCTATTTACAACGAAAGTTGTATATACAGGGGCTGGAGAGATGGCTCAGAGGTTAAGAGCACTGGCTGTTCTTCCAATAAGTCGTGAGTTCAATTCCTAGTAACAGCACAGTGGCTCACAACCATCTCTAGTGAGATCTGGTACCCTCTTCTTGCATGCAGATACACATGCAGGCAGAATAGTATATAAATAATAAATAAATCTTGTTTTTTTTTTTTTTTTACTGCATATATACAAAATACAACAAAGTTTCAGCTAGGTTGTGACAATTTTTAATTTCTCTGTCTGCTCCAGAAAATCCATGTACTTAGAGCTAAGCAGGAGCAATATCCTCTGAGTAGTAAGGCCTCAGAGACAGGAGGAACGAATTAAGAGACAGAAAATTGCTTCAATAACTGAACAACACCCTGGGGTGGTCTATTACAGCAACATTTCATACATTTACATGTGCATATTTCACATACGTACAATTTACATATGTGTGTATATATATATGTTTTTCTTTTTCGAGACAGGAGCTCACTACATAGTCTAGCTGTTCTGGAACCCACTATTTAGAAAAGGGTGACCTTAAACCCCCGTCTCTGCCTCCCAAGTCCTGTGACTAAAGACATGTGCCAGCATGCCTGGCTTGTATAGTCTATATTTTCCAAAGACTGCCATGACTTTATTTCTCATCCCTCATGGTCTTCTATGCGATCCTGGCATTTCTGCCATCAAGATAAGGAGTCAGTTAGGTATGCAGGTGCATACCTGTAATCCCAGCACTCAGGAGGCAGGAAGCTGGAAGATCACAAATTCCAGACCAGCCTGAGTGACACCATAGATGCTGTCTCAAAAAGAAACAAAGATAAAAGTATCTACACATCCTCTCCTTGAATTTATACAATGTTCAACTCTCCAGTAAATAATCCTGACAGAATGAGGGCAATGGTTTCAGGATGTAGGGCAGAAAAGGCAATGCAGTTCTGATTTGTCTGCTCTGAAGCCCAGAACTGTTAACTAAAAACTCCTCATAGTCTCCCCACGCTCACTGTTAAGCCCAAACTATGAAGAGGCGCTTACAGGTGTTCCGGTCAGAAATCCTAAGCGGGTCCTCCAGCCCCCTCTTGGCAGCACTTAACTGCTGACTCAAACTTTCCAAAGATTTATTTTTACTCTACATATACAAATTTTATGCTTACATACATGTATGTGCACCACATATGTACCTATTGGATTCCCCTGGATTTATTTAAGATATCCTACGGGTTCTGGGAACTGAACCCAGTCCTCTGCAGAGCAACAAGTGCTCTTAACGACTGAGCCATCTCTCCAACCCCCTTGACTCAGATACTTTGGAAACGGGCCAATTCATGCCTACCACGTCCTATAAAACTTTCCAAATAATATGAGTTTTTCCCCTCAGTGTCTAAGACTGACTTCAGGGCACTCGGCTACATCTCCAGCCCAGTATGAAAGTTTTACTTAAGCACCATGTTCCTGCTAAAAAGTATTGAAATATGTAGAGTGAAATATGCTCTACAGAAATATATAGCCTGAGGACTGGAGTTAAAACTCCAGGACATGTATGGTACATTTCCACATGTGCACACACACATACACACAAAGTTTCAAATTTTCCAAATTTTCAAAGTTTCTAAATTTCCTTCAAGTAAGAGTAATTTAAAAGAGAATTCTAATACATTTTAATGAGATATGAATGGGACTGAGACGTTTGAGAAATTTTTAAAACTAAAGCTTTTGCTTCTATTGTCTGAAGGAAAAAAAATATATAGGAAGGCCACAAAGTTGAGAGCTGGAATAAAATGATTTTTGCACCCAAAGTAGAGGAAGCGTTAAAAAAATATATACAACATGAAAATAAAATGGGCAAGATTAAGAATTGTGCAAATGAAAAGTGAAAACACCAGTTGTCCTTATGAAATGGAATACATCCCATCCTAGAACTGTGTCATCTCATGGAAAGAGACCACTTAAAGGCCACCTTTTAAGGCAATTTACTTAACTGAAGACAGTGAATGTCAACCCCAAACCCATTCTTTGTCCCTAGTACTTCCAGGGTATAATGATATCTATCTAGCACAAGGACGTGGTCAAAAATTGAGCTACTCAGACTAGGAATATGGCTCAGAAGTAGGGTGTGTTCAGGCCTTGGGTTCAATCCCCTGTGCCAAAAAAAAAAAAAAAAGAACAAAAATACCGAGCTATTCAGTAAGCCGATTGGAATGGTAAGGAAGCCAATCAACGTCAAAACAGAAGGTAAGTAAGGGCTTGAACGCTATGTCGATTCTGGAAGATTGATAACAGATACAACAACAGGAGGACGTGAAAGGAGCAGTCAAGCTGACCACGGAACGTGGACCCTAGGTCCCCTGAGCTTGCACTGTCTAGCAAACCCAACTTCGCTCCCGGCGCAGCGTGAAACAGGGCTGCTCGGAGCGCGCCACGGACGGAATGAGGTGGCTGGCGCAGATCCTTCATCCCCGCACGTCCCCCGCCCTCCCGCCTAAGCGTCCGACGGGGTCACCTACCCTCGTCGGCGTCATACATCTTGGCCAAAGGTTTCTGAAGCTCTTAACTCGAAATCACAAAGCCGGAGATGAGAACGTCAGCGGCAAACTCGGACAGCGAGAGGAAGCAATGCCCGTCTCCGGCGTTCCCAGAATCCTCAGCGTCTACGCGAGGGGGCGGGGCGTGAGACGTGCGCTTGCGCAAATGGCGGGGCTTGAACTGCGCAAATGCAAACTACGGATCGCTGGGTGCAATGAATGAACGCTTCCTGTAGCGTGTTTTTTTGTTTGTTTTGTTTTTTTTAGCGTTTGTTGCACAAACGACACTTGATTTGTGTGGAGTAGATTTACGAGAGGAACGGCTGTGGGTGTGGGCTGAGCACCGACGGCCCCCCGCGGCCCACCACGGCTCTATCTAGTCCGTGCCTCGGCACCGCTGAATGAAATCTCGGGTCTCAGAGCTGTCATCGCGAGAAATGCAGGGTTGGTCGCGCCGTTGGACAGCTCCCTCGGTCGAGGAGCGCCTGGGACGCTAGCGCGCGTGCGCGCGCGAGGCTCCGCCCTCCTCGCCGCTCTTTGCCCCTCATGCTGACCGCGCGCCTGGGTCGCGGGCTGCTGTGCGGGCTCCTGCGGGGCCCCGCGCCAGCCGCTGCGAGCCATGGCCCGGCGCGGCGGCTCCTGCTGCAGAAGCCTGGGGCTGCCTTCTCCCAGCGCTCGTCATCCCTGGGCCGCCGGCTCCCTCCGAGCTCCGCGGCGACCGAGGACGGCGAGGAAGACTCCGACACGGAGGAGCGCTTTCTGTTCCCGGAGTACGTCCAGGAGCCGGACCCCGAGGAGCAGTTGCGGGAACTGCGGGAGCTGCAGCAGCGGCAGGAGGAGGAGGAGCGACGGAGGTTGCAGCGGCGGGAGGAGCGGCTTCAGCGGAAGCTGCGGGAGGGTCTCCTGCCTCTGCCGGTCTCGGAGCTCCCCGATGTCACGGTGCCGCCCAGCGGCGTCTACTGCTCGGGGTGCGGGGCCGAGCTGCATTGCCAGCACCCCGGCCTGCCCGGCTTCGTGACGGACGAGAAGTTCCGCGCCGCTACCCAGGCCGACGGCGGCCCGACGCGGACCGTGTGCCAGCGCTGCTGGCTGCTGGTGCACCACCGACGTGCCCTGCGCCTGCGGGTGAGCTGCGAGCAGTACCTGGAGCTGGTGAGCGCCGCGCTGCGGCGGCCGGAGCCCTCCCTGGTGCTCTATATGGTGGACCTGCTCGACCTGCCCGACGCCCTGCTTCCGGACTTGCCCAAGCTGGTGGGCCCCAAGCAGCTCTTCGTGCTGGGGAATAAAGTGGACCTGCTGCCCCAGGACGCGCCTGGCCATTTGAAGCGGCTGCGGAAGCGGCTGTGGGACGACTGCATCCGCGCTGGGCTCGTGGTGGCCCCCGGCAGCCGAAGAGCTCAGTATCCTGCCGGGGATGAGCCACAGGGCGAGAACAAGAATCAGAACCCGCCGGCCAGGTCCAGCCCGGTGGTCAAGGACGTGCGGCTGATCAGCGCCAAGACCGGCTACGGAGTTGAAGAATTGATCTCCGCGCTTCAGCGCTCCTGGCGCTACCGCGGCGACGTTTACCTAGTAGGCACCACGAACGCCGGCAAGTCTACTCTCTTTAACACACTCCTGGCGTCTGATTACTGCACCGCCAAGGGCTCCGAAGCCATCGACCGGGCCACCATCTCCCCCTGGCCAGGTGAGGCCCCATTGCTGAGTAATTAGACTTGACCCAGGAACCTAGTGCAACTACCCTTAAATGTCCATTTCGAGCTGCCAGGAGCCGCCCCTTTAAAATGTTTCTCCCTACACTGGTCATACCAGGTTATTGTTTGGAAAGTCAGTGCATGTTCGATTTTTCCAGTAAAGATGTTTCTAGGGGCGGCCGGGGTATAAAGCTTGTTCGCCCAAGTGCCTGCTTAACATGCATGAAGCCTGAGTTAGTCTGCGGCACTTCATAAACGAGGTGCGGTGGCATTCTCCTGTATCCCCAGCACTCAAGAGGTGGAAGGCAGGAAGATCAGGAGGAGAGCAAAGCTATTCTCAGATACATAGTTGGGGTCGCCGGTGGGGTAGATACATAAACCCCATTCCATACCAAAAAAAAAAATCCTGTGTGTTTTTTTTTTTTTTAACTCCTAAGACCTTTCACCCCTCAGTCTTACTCTTCACCGCTTGGATTTATTCTTGGACTGTTACACTGTACATGTGAAAGAGTTGGTGAAATACGGTGTGGAGATACCTTGAGAAGAAATGTCAGTTTTCAGAGTTAAACTAATAGCTTGGGATGGTGATACTGCCCGTCTGTTATCACAACGCTGGGGAGACGGAGTGAGGCAGTGTTGCAAGAGCCAGTCTGGAGGAAGAAACTGAGGAAGGAGAGCGAAACTTGTGTGCTTGGAGAGTTAGTCTTAGGAATTGGGTTGACAGAAAATTGTTCCCTTGAACCCAGCCTTTAGCTGCCCTTTGGCACCTCATATTTAAAACTGTCTATGGCCATGGTGGTATGTATTAGAGCAGTGGTTCTCAACCTGTGGGTCATGACCCCTTGCAGGATGGAATGACCCATTCACAGGGCACACCTAAGACCATCAGAAAACAAAGACATTCACATTACAGTTCATAACAGTAGCAAAGTTACAATTATGATGTAGCAACAAAAAAATTTTAACAGCTCAGCCGTTAAGAGCACTGGCTGCTCTTCCAGAGGTCCTGAGTTCAAGTCCCGGAAACTACATGATGGCTCACAACCATCTATAACGGGATCTGATGTCTTCTTCTGTCATACAGGCATACATGCAAATAGAACACTTATATGTATAAATAAATAAATAAATAAGTCCTTAAAAATTTTACAGTTGGTGGTCACCACAACATGAGGCACTAAAACATGAGGTATTAAATAAAGGTTCGCATCATTAGGAAGGTTGAGAACACCGATGCAGAGGGTAGGTAGTGAAGCAGGGTAAAACAGACCTAGAAATTCTGTATCCAAATTCTGATTAGTAAAGCAGTCGCTACGCCCCTTTCCTCATTCGTAAAGGGTGTGCAGTAATTGCATAGCAGTTGTCATGACGGTTAAATGAAGTCAATCGGGAATGTTTGGTTTTCTTCTCTCACACTTTTCGAAAAACTCTTCTGGTATTTCAGGTACTACATTAAACCTCTTGAAGTTTCCTATTTGCAATCCGACTCCTTACAGGATGTTCAAAAGACATAAAAGACTTAAAGAAGATGCGGCCAAAGCTGAAAAAGATCTGAGTCAGGAAGAACAAAGTCAGCTCAATCAACTGAAAAAGCGTGGTTACATAGTAGGTATGCATCCTTCCTCCTAGGGAAAATTTGCACTGGTTCTGTGGTAAAATTGTTTAGAACCGTGCAGTGCAGCCATTGGGGCTAGCAAAAATAACTGTAACAAAAGACCTTTTTTATATAACTATTTGTTTCTCGGTTTCTCTCTTAGCCTGGCTATTATGTAGATAATTGAGACTCTATTATATATTTTTTTCTACATGGGAGGTTTTATTAGGGAGTGGGAGAGGTCACAGAGACTGTCTGTCTCTGGATGAGGCAGGAAAGAGAGAGAGCTCTATTACATTATTTTAACAAGCTTTACAGCTCAAGAACTGAGCAGTTATTACACTGTTCTTAAGCCGGTAAGCTGATTTGGTTTATTCCCAGGGTACATCCCAGAGATACTTGCACTTTGTAGCTTTTCCTGCTCCAGCTCCTCTCCTGATCTTACCTGGACCTCTCCCATGGCTGAATCCTTTACTTCCTCTTCTCACCTCTACCCTGGCTGGCAGGAAGTCCAGCTCTCTCCCCTACTTAGTGATCAGGGGACAATTGGGGAGCAGTGTTTATATAACATTAAGACAAGAGATTCTCAGAAAAAGGATTGCAACCAGATACGGGGGGTACAGAAATCAACATTTGAATTACACAATAACCTTATGCCTACAGTCTTTGACTAGGTTGTCCATCTCCTTCTTATCTCTCTTCTGATTTCATTAATATGGAAAAAAAGAGAGATTTTTAACACCACCAGACTAAATGCACATAAAGAATGACTCATACTATTTTCTAAAAAGACAAAATTATAGTCATAGCCACAGTCTCTTATTTACACATGTAGTTGTTTTAGTGACTTATTTAAGGCAAACATAAAAAGTGTCTTCAGAGTCTGACCTAGTGATGCACACCTTTAGTCCCAGCACTTGGAATGCAGAGGCAAGTAGATCTTTGTGAGTTCAAGGCCAGCATCATCTACATAGAGAATTCCAAAACAGCCAGAGCTACATGGTAATATTCTTTCACAGAGAGGGTGGGTCTTCAGGAGTGTCAGGTACACACCTATAATCACAACACTTGGGGGAGTTAAGAGAAACCTCAGTTCCATAGTGATTTTGAGGCAAACCTGGACTACGTAAGATCTTTTCCAAAATACAAATGACAACCAAGGTAAATGCATACATATGTGTGTGTGTGTGTGTGTGTGCATGCATGTGTGCACGTGTGTGTGTGTGTGTGTGTGTATGTATGATCTGTCTCCTATCACTATAGAAGCTAAAAAAAAAAATCAAGTTTAACACTTGAAACTTTGTACAGAAAACCCATCTCAAAAATTTTTCTAATGACCCAGAAGCAAAGCATTAAAGGCATGCCTGATAACCTCGGTTTAATTTGTTCTAGGAAGAGTTGGAAGAACATTCTTGCACTCCACAGAGCAGAACACAGGGGTTCCCTTTGAGTTTGATGCTGACTCACTGGCCTTTGACATGGAAAATGAACCTGTTGTGCCTGTGCACAACCACACCAAACAAGTAGAACTGACCCCACAGGATGTGAAAGATGCCCACTGGTTTTATGACACCCCTGGGATTACCAAAAAAAGCTGTGTATGTATTTGTTTTCTTTTAGAAACATTTAATTGTAGAAGTACTTTCTCAACTGACAGAAAATAAGCAAAGAGGTCTACTTCCATTTTAAAACTTATTTCTGGGTGGGTTAGTTGGTGGTTGGTTGGTTGGTTGGTTGGTTGGTTGGTTGGTTGGTTAATTTTTTTCAAGACAGTTTCTCCATGTAGCCTTGGCTGTCCTGGACTTGCTTTATAGACCAGGCTGGCCTCAAACTCACAGAGATCCACCTCCCTCTGCCTCCCTGAGTGCTAGGATTATAGGCATGCACTACCGTGCCCGGCACAATTCTAGTTTCTTTATAAAACTAGTTCAAGGATGAATCTATATGACATTAAATTCTGTATTTCTTTAGTTGACATTGCTGTAGGCAAACTACAGTATTAACATTGTACTTGTTAGCTTACAACTACAGTATTATATGAAATTATAGTAGCTTAGCTACTATGTAATATGTTCCTATATTTTAAGGTTACAAATTATGAATATTGCAGTCCAGCTGCCGAGTCCATGCTTAAATCCCCTTGAAGACGTGTCAATCATGATGTCATATAGTTTGAACTGAAGTGAATCATGACAACTTATCAAAGGAGTGTCACATGAATTTCCAAGGCATTCAGCCATTCTTGGCCTGCTCTTTTCTTTGCACTGAAAGTCTCCCAGTAACTTGTACCCGCTGTTCTTCAAAGCTCTGTAGAACAAACATGGCATGTATTTCCCTGAAATAGTTTAAATTCTAAGTGATCAAGTGGCCCTATTTTTAGAATAGGGATAAATCTACCTATCCTGCTATTATCCACCCCTTTACTCAGACTAAAACATCTCACAGGTAACCTAGCTTTTGTCTATTTAAATTTAGCTGGTATTTAGCTAAGCATAGTAATGCACACATTTTGCTTAATATAGTTGCATCCATTTTCATACAAAAAAAAAATAGGAAATTCATTCTAGCCACTCAAACTTCCTATGTATATAAAACTCGTTTTCCTTGTGCATTCCTCTGTTGATATCAAAGTTGGTTCCATAGCATAGCTACTGTGATTTCATTTTTTAAATGAGTTTTATTTTCTTTAAATCTTTCCAGAATCTGGTAATCCCTAGCTTTCTATAGTGGCTAGTTTCATATGTCAACTTGATACAAGCTGGAGTCATCAGAAAAAAAGGAGCCTCTATTAAGGAAATGCCTCCATGAGATCCAGCTGTAAGGCAGTTTGTCAATTAGAGATCAAGGGAGAAGGCCCAGCCCATTGTGGGTGGTGCCAGCCAGGACCACCGCGGTCCTGGGTTCTATAAGAAAGCAGGCTGAGCAAGCCAGGAGGAGCAAACCAGTAAGCAGCACCATGGCCTCTGCATCAGCTCCTGCCTCCAGGTTCCTGCCCTCTTTGAGTTCCCGTCCTGACTTCCTTTGGTGATGAACAGCAATGTGGAAGTGTAAGCCGAATAAACCCTTTCCTCCCCAATTTGCTCTTTGGTCATGGTTTTTTTGCCACAGCAATAGAAACCCTGACTAAGACACTTTGCTTTTCTGTTTTCTGCAGTCTGTTTAAAAGGTTTGTTCTTGTGGTTGGAAAGGTGTCTTAGTGTGCCTGTTGGTTTGGAGACATTGTTCTTCCAGAGGAACCAAATGACCACATGGTGGCTCACAACCTCCTATAACTCCAGTTCCAGGGGATCTAATGCCCTCCCCTCTCTGCAGTCACTATATATAGGCATACACAAAGCTAAGAAACAAACAAAACAAAACAAAACAAAAACCCTCTTGTCCCAACAAGCCAAGATGCATAACACTGGTCTTCTGGCTATTTTTCAGGAGAAAGAGATCTTCAAGTTACAGACTAGTTCCTAATGTAGAGTGACCATTTTGCTTTTTGGTTTCTTTTGCAAACAAGGGCCTTTTTTTTTTTTTTTTTTAGACAAGGTCTAGGAAATAGTACATAGTCCAGGCTACCCTAGAACTTGTGACAATCCTCCTGCTCCAGCCTCCCAGAGCTGGGATTTGTAGATATGAACCATTTTGCATTTTATGCTTCCATGCTTAATCCTTAGGATCCACTATCACATTTTATCTTTGTCTGTTAAAAAGCTGGGAGCTACTGCTACCCAAATCCTTGAGCATACAATTTCATTCTTAGTGAGCCAATAGTACCTTGGGATGCGTACCACTTTTGACATTTGGGGGATAAATGCTATAATAGGAAAGTCTCATATGCCTGTGTTTAATATTCAGCTGTGAAATGAGTAGAATAACTTAGAGACAATATATAAATTGTAAGTGTGGCTAATGAATATAATTTGGTGTGCTGTAAAGTCTAAAAATTTTTTGTTTCAGCAAATCACAAAAATGTTGAATGAAAGTACCTCTAAATAAATCATGTCATTTGCTTTATAGATTTTAAATCTTCTAACAGAAAAAGAAGTCGATATTGTTTTGCCAACACATTCTATTATCCCAAGAACCTTTGTTCTCAAACCAGGAATGGTTCTATTTTTGGGTGCTATAGCCCGAATAGATTTCTTACAGGTAAGAAAATCTACGCTATTGGAATATGAACAAGTATTAGAATGCACTTTAGAAGGTTACGTGTGTAAAATTTTATTGCAAAAGTTTGGGGGAAAGAAGTAGGCCCAAAAGAGAGAACACTACGATGTTAAAATCGGTAAAATTGTGCCAGAGAAGATGGCTCAACAGGTAGGAGTGTTTGCTGCTCTGTCAGAGAGAGGAGCATAGTTGAGCTCACTGCACCACTGGGCAGCTCACTACCACTACAACTCCAGCCCTGGGGATCCACCTACTCAGGAATCTTTGGGCACCTGCAGTCGTAGGAACTTAGCCCGACGCCGACACACACACACTTTTAAATCTAAAAGGTTTTTTTTAAGATCTATTACGTATATCTGTGTTTTTCCTGGATGTGTATATGTGCACCATGTGTATACCTAGTGACCAGAAAATTTAAAAGAGCGCATCAGTGCCCCAGAACTGAAGTTACAGATAGTTGTGAGCCCCCATGTGGTTGCTGGGATCAAACCCGTGTCCTCTACACGTGCAACAAGTACTCTTAACTGCTGAGCCACCTCTCCAGCCCACTGACAGTGTTTTTAATAATTCTATTCTTAGGGCTAGGTAGTGGTGACACACACCTTTAATCCCAGCTCTCAGGAGGCAGAGGCAGGTGGTTCTCTGTGAGTTTGAGGCCAGCCTGGTCTATAGAGCAAGTCCCAAAAGAGCCAAGGATACACAGTGAAACCCTGTCTCAAAAAACCAATATATACATATATACATACATATATACATATATATATGTGTATAATGTGTATATATATAATATGTATTTATGTGCATTGGTGTGAGGGTATCAGATCATCTGGGACTGGAGTTACAGACAGTTGTGTGGGTGCTAGGAATTGAATCCCGGTCCTCTAAAAGAGCAGCCAGTGAGTGCTCTTAACCACTGAACCATCTCTCTAGCCCATCCTTTTTTAATTTTTAAAGGCAGGGCTTGGTGGCACCCACCTTTAATTCCAGCACTCCAGAGGCAGAGTCAGGCAGATCTCTGAGTTCAAGGCCTGCCTGATCTGGAAAATGAAGCCCTGTCTCAAAAAAAAAAAAAAAAAAAATCATTAATGAGATATTGAATCCCTTATATAGCTTAGCTTTGTTCTTTCTTTCTTCTTTTTATTTTTATTTTTTTTTCTTTAGGGGTGGGAAGGTTTGGTTTTTTTGTGTTTTTTTTTTTTTGTTTTTTTCAGGACAAGGTTTCTCTGTGTATCACTGGCTGTTCCAGAATTTACTTTGTAGACCAGGCTGGCCTACCTGCCTCTGCCTCCTGAGTGCTGGGATTAAAGGCTTGCACCATTAACACCTGGCTCAGTAGTTTAGCATTTAAGATGAAATACTGTTCATTTCCTATATTGTTTCATATGAAAATTATGCATATATGTAGGCCCAAGGTTAATATACATTAAATTCTGTACTTATTTGTATACTCTAACATACCATATTTTGCTTAGTTACATAGCATTATTCTGGGGATATTCAGGAATTGCTCTCCATTTTTTCCAAAGGAAGAAGAAAAAGGGAAACTGAAACATTGTTATATTCAACAAATGTAACTTACAGCCCATTGATAAAGAATATTTGACTTCTATGTTCATACTTGAAAATTTAACCTTGTATACTTATTATACAACTACACAGTTGTATAATACACAACTACACAGTTACCATCATTTCCTTGTTGATATTTTAGATATATTTACATATTTTATGTGTGTGCGTGTGTGTGCTTGCATGAATTTGTGTGTACCATTTGTGTACAGAAGCCCTGGGAGGCCAGAGCATGTTAGATCACCTGGAGCTACAGATGGTCTGCCTAATGTGGACTCATGTCCTCTGCAAGAGCAATAAGTGCTCTTTACTGCTGAGCCACCTCCCCTGCCCTTCCTTGTTGCTCTTAACAGCAGATATGAAACCAACAGTACTTTTTTTTCTTTAGTTTTTTTGAGGGGCTGGGGGACTGGTTGTTTGTTTGGGGGGGTTGTTCTTGTTTTTTCCACAACTGAGATTTTACTGGTTGGTGGTCAGCACACAGACATTTCGGGTAATGCGTGTACTCTGAAGAGTCGTGTATCGCGTTTTGTTTTGGACAGTTACTCCAGTGATGTTCCAGCCTCAAACTTGGCGAGTTTTCCTTCAGACCTCGCATAACAGTCAAACGCTCATAATCCTCACTTGGACTGACTCACAGTTTTATGCCGTAAACAGTACACACTCAAACTTTCCATCTTTCACAGCACATTATCACGATTGTTAGGAAAATGGACTGCCATGACCAGAGGGACATTACAGCCCTCTCAGGGCAAGGACCAAGGAGTGGTTTATAGGAAACAGTTCTAGAAACACGAGACCAGATGTAGCTGAAAATGTTCCAGATACTAATGCATGACGGAGATTCCAAATTACAGTTTCGTATGCTTTTTATTGTAGGGTATAAAACCAGCCCCCTCAGTGTTATGCTGTCGGCTGAGACAGTCACAGCCTGTCCAACAACTAACAGATGATTTCACCTCTTAAAAAGTCTTTTACACTTTTAAAAGTGGGATGAGTTGTGATTCCTCCCCAACCCCTTTTAAAAATGCTTCTGAAGCTACTAAAAAAATAAGTAAATAAAAGCCTCCCATTTACAAAATCGTTGATTAAAAACATTCCTTTGAATTGAACAAGGAGGAAGGTAGGGGCCACTGACAGGCATGAGTCGTGGCTGGTCGGACTTGGCTTCTTCCTCCTCATCTTCAGAGGCTGGACTGTTTTCTGGTCTGTTTTCTGCAGATAGTTTGCTAGTTAGCCACCTCAGGCTGTTTGTCCTTTGCTCCCCTCTTCCCTTTGGTTTGTACTTTTTTGTCAGATTTAGCCATTCCCTCAGCTTTTTCCGTGCACCTTGGCAGGGTGGGTTTGCCCATCAGTCCCGGGGCTCCTCCATCACTGAATTAGACCATCATGGTGGGCTTGTGATGGGAGGCATATGCCAATCCCATCATGAGGCTGCTTGTTTCTTTGTTTTTTAAGACAGGGTCTCCATATATTGCCCAGCTTGGCCTTAAACTCAACATCCTCCTGCCCCAGCCTCCTACAGGTTTTCTACCATGCCTGTCTGTCTTGGTTTTTTTTTTTTTTTTAATAATATCAAGTCTGTAGAAGTCTTAGTAGTTTTATAATTTTCAGGAATCATTAAGACATTATTTCTATATTACCCCCTCTTTTAAGTCATTAGTCTGCTTACATTTGAAAGACAGCTTAATTTGATTCCTACTTTGTCCTCTTTGTATTATTGTTTTGGGTCTCCTGTATCCCAGGCTGGTCTTACTCAGTGTTTTAGCTGAGGTTGTCTCTGTACTCCTAATCTTGCTACCTCTACCATCCTTGCTGGGTTTAGGGTGTACACTACACACCTAGTTTTTATTTCTCTTTTTTAAAATTGTACATTACAATGTGAAGGTTTTTCAAGTTTTTTTCTGTAAAATAACTTCCTCCTTCCTTTCTTAAGGGAGATCAATCAACGTGGTTTACAGTTGTGGCTTCCAACTTCCTTCCTGTTCATATTACTTCCTTGGACAAGGCAGATGCTCTCTATGAGAAACATGCAGGTCACGAGTTACTGCTGGTAAGCACTGCAACTTGATAGCTGCGTGGAGTAGCTATGCCCTGGGATGGTTCCATACCCCTGGTGATAAAGGCTAATGGGTAAAACCGTCATTTTACACCAGCCATCTCTCTTATCTCACCTCTGGCTTGAGAGCACTGGCTGTTCTTCCAAAGGTTTGAGTTCAATTTCCAGAAACCACATGGTGGCTCACAACCATCTATAATGAGATCAGGTGCCCTGTTCTGACGTGCAGGGATACACACAGGAGGAACACTGTATAAAAAAAATAAATAAATCTTTTTTTTTTTTTTTTTTTTTTTTTTTTAAGCAATAATGGGTTATACGTGAAAAAGGGGTGTTGCAGACCAGCTGGTGCCACACACCTTTAATCCCAGCCCTCAGGGAGGCGGGGACAGATGGATCACTGTGAATTTGAGGACAGCCTGGTCTACAAAGAGAGTCCAGGACAGCCTTGGCTACTTTTCAAGTGTCTCATAGTCACATTACTGCAGAAAATTGTATTGGAGAGCTAGGAAAAAGTCACAAGAGTTATAGCACAGACCTTTAATCCCAGCGTTTAGGAGACCAAAGCAGATGGATCTCCATGAGTTCAAGGCCAGCCTGGCTTACATATTGAATTCAGAACTAAAAGAAGTTACAGATTTTGTCACAGTTGAGGGGTGTTCCTGGAATCTGTTTCGGGGGGCTTGGGGTACACGTGATGCTAAACCATCCTGCAGCACTTAGGTGAACATTCACAATGAAGAACAAACTAAAAGTGTCAGTAGTGACTGAGAAGTGCAGGTCTGAGCAGAAGCTTTCCTGCCTCATTCCTAATCCCAGACACTCAGTTTTACAGGCTCCCTCTTTTCCTCCCATCCTACCTCCTCCTTCACACTATAAATGTATTTTGATTGTTCTTATCTTTATTTAATAAACAAAACGTCACCAGGTGTAGTGCCTCATGCCTTTAATCACAGCACTGGGGAGGAAGAGGCAGGCAGAACTCTGGGAGTTCGAGGCTAGCCTGATCTACAAAGCGAGTCTAGGACAACAGATGATAGGTAGGTATGTAGACAGACAGACAGACAGACCGATCTTTACCGCCCATCTTACTCTTGGTGCCTCATGTCCCATTGCTATAGGCCTGTCTGCAGAGTAACCATATCTTGAAAAACCATAAATAAAGAAACAAACAAACAAATAAGCAAGCAGAGTGTCCTGAATAATCCTTTTCTTTACCGCTCATCTTACTCTTGGTTCCTCACGTCCCATTGCTATAGGCCTATCTGGCCCTTACCATCCCAGTGAAATCTGCCAGGCCCAGTTGTCTGAGGTCTGTTTGCAGCTCATCTGCAAGATAGGCCCTAAGCACCACGGGACAGTGAACATTATAATTAAGTTTTATTTGGACTGGAGAGATGGCTCAGCAGTTAAAAGTACTAGCTGCTCTTCTAGAGAACCTGAGTTTGATTCACAGCACCTACAAGGTAGCTAACAACCATCTGTAACTCCAGTTCTGGGGCCTCTGAGGTCCTCCTCTGGCCTCCTTAAGCATTGTACCCACATGGTGCACAGACATAAATTTTGTTTTGATGTTTAAAACAGCCTCTCATGTAACACAAGGCTGGCCTCTAGTTAGTTATGTAGCCAAGACTGGCCTTGAACTCCTGAGCTTTCTGCCTCTTACTTATCAAACGCAGGGACCATAAAAATGTATAAGCTAGCTCACTATCTAAGATACTGAAACCAGACTACCTGGGTTTGGATGTCTTCCCCCACTGCTCAGTTTAAGAAAGCTGTGTAGCTTTGGGCACATTTCCTGCTTTTCTCTGTGTTATGCCTGTCTCCTAAAAAGTGGAAAGATTAAGGGGGTGAGGGGCAGCAATCTTCATCCTTTTCTTTGATGTTGTTTGCTTGAAGCAGTTTCACTGTAGAAACCTGGCTTTCCTGGAATTTGCTGCAGAGACTGGGCTGGCCTGCAGCTGAGATTGCTACCTCCTGGGTGCTGAGATGAAAGGCCACCAAGCCTGGCTCCATTTGCTTTTCACTTTTTATTTATCTAGTGTGTGTGTACATGTGCACTGTTTCACACTCACATGCATGTCACAGCCTTCCTGTGGAGGTCGAGGACAAACTGGTGTCAGCTCTGTCCTTCAGGCTTTTTGTTGTCTCCAGAAATCAACCCAAAAGTCACTAGGCTTGCTGTGCAAGTGCCTTTACCTGCCGAACCATGCTGCCAGCCGTAGGACTGTTTTAAGTACTAGGTGTGTTTGGGTGATAATCTTAAACAGCTATTTCAGAAATAACAGGTGATCCAATGTAGCAGTAGTTAGCACCAGTGTTTACAAAACTGAAAACATACAAGTTAGCCATGGTGGTGCACACCTTCTGTCCCAGAAGTTGGGAAACAGGCAGGTGGATCTCTGTGAGTTCAAGGTCAGGCTGGTCTACAGAGCAAGTTCTAGGATAGCCATGACTACACAGAGAACCCCTTGTCTTAAAAAAGAAAAGGAAAGAAAAAGTTAGCCATGTGTAAAACTATAGCATATTGAATTTATAAAGCCTGAAGTTCAAGGTCATCAGTGACTGTATTAAGTAGAAGGCTAGCTTGAGCTATAGTAACCTGTGAGATCTACACAAGCCTGTTATCCCAACACTCAGTGAAGCAGAGGCAGGTGGATCTCTGAGACTTCAAGGACAGCCTGGTCTACAAAGCCAGTCTAGGAAAGCCAAGGCTATACAGAGAAATGCTGTTTTGGGAAAAAAAAGAAGTCAGATTAATCTTAACTGTTTACATACCTAAAACAACTACGGTATTTGGAAGGGCCTTGCCTTAACTGCCTGACATAATTCCATGCAAACTCCTGTGGTGACTATGCAAATAGTATAGATAAAAATGCAATTCTGCTTAAATTACTGCCAGGCCCATGTCCAACACGTGGTCCTTGGCCTTGGAAACCTTGGCCTTCATCTCTTCACAGAGTTCCCATGCTCAGAAGTAAATATTTGGAGGATTGTTTTCATGTCCATTCTTATCCATAATGTATTTATTAATGCAATATAAGGGGTTTTGTCTTGTTTATTAAGATAGCCAAGTGGGCATGGCATTATAATTCCAGCACTTGGAAGGCAAAGGCAGTAGGATCAGAAGTTTAAGACCGTAGTCCTTAGCTACCTAGCAAGTTTGAAGGTAGCATTGGATCCTGTTTCAAAAAACAAAAAGGAAAAGTCTCACTCTTTAGCCCAGGCTCATCTCAAACTCATGATAATCTCCTTACCCTAGCCTCCATCCTAGGGTTAAAGCTTTGATCACAACGTATACCTACAAACTGATGGGATTTGGAGTTTCTTCTGCTATATCCCTGACTGGCTTAGTACTCAACTGTACAGAATAGGCTAGCCTTGAACTCACAGATAACCATCTCCCTTTGCCACCTGGGTGCTGGGATCAAAATATGAGCTACCATCCCCAAAACCAGATACAGGGAATTTGATTTGACATTTCAAACCTCTTTTTTTATTGGAAGGTTCCAATGGGTGGAAAAGAACGAATGGCACAGTTTCCTCCTCTGGTTGCTAAAGACATTACATTAAAAGGAGGTGGAGAATATGAAGCAGTAGCAGATATCAAGTTCTCCTCTGCAGGTACTGTATTCATTGTTGCTATTGTTTATTTGTTTTTATTTCTTTGAGGCAGGGTTTCTCTATGTAGCTCTGGCTGTCCTAGAACTTGCTCTATAGACCCAGGCTGGCCTCAAGCTCCCAAAGATCTGTCTGCCTGCCTCTCTCTCCCAGTGCTGAGATTAAAGGTGTACACCACCACTGCCCAACCCTGGTAATGTCCTCTTAAAAAGTAAAGCATAGGCCAGGTATGGGGTAGCATGTTCCTAAGTCCCAGCATTTGCAGGGTAGAGGCTGGAGATCAAGACCAGGCTGTTCGACGTGAGACTCTGGCTCAGCAAAACGGCCTTTGGCCTAATACCAAGTATAGAAAGATGGGAGCTGAGCGTAGGGGCAAAGGCAGGTGGATCTCTTGAATTTGAGACCAGCCTGGTCTACAGAGTGGGTTCCAGGCCAGCCAGGGCTACAGAGAAAACATGTCTCCAAAAGTAACAATAATAATAATTAATTA